CCCCTGCGGCAACTACACGCACCCCCCCACCCCCGCGGCAGCTGCACCCACAGAACTGTCCCCACGCACCCTCTCCCACACACACACACCCCCCGCTACTCACACACAAACACAAACACCTGCCACCGTCACACACACGCAGGGTTGCGGGAGACGTGTCTCGGAAAGGATGCCTCTTCCCTGTCTGCATTGGACCCCCACACACACACACACAAACACACCTGCCACCGTTGGCCCACACAACCTACCCACAGACACCCGCGGCTGACACGCACTCCCCAGCCGCTACCGGACAGGCCCTGCACGCACTGCCCGCACACACACGCACTGAACACACACTGTGCACACATTCACTGCACACACGCACTGAACACACACTGTACACACATTCACTGCACACACTGCCCGCACACACACGCACTGAACACACACTGTACACACATTCACTGCACACATGCACTGAACACACACTGTGCACACATTCACTGCACGCACTGCCCGCACACACACGCACTGAACACACACTGTGCACACATTCACTGCACACACGCACTGAACACACACTGTGCACACATTCACTGCACACACTGCCCGCACACACACGCACTGAACACACACTGTGCACACATTCACTGCACACACGCACTGAACACACACTGTGCACACATTCACTGCACACACTGCCCGCACACACACGCACTGAACACACACTGTACACACATTCACTGCACACACGCACTGAACACACACTGTGCACACATTCACTGCACACACTGCCCGCACACACACGCACTGAACACACACTGTACACACATTCACTGCACACACGCACTGAACACACACTGTGCACACATTCACTGCACACACTGCCCGCACACACACGCACTGAACACACACTGTACACACATTCACTGCACACACGCACTGAACACACACTGTGCACACATTCACTGCACACACTGCCCGCACACACACGCACTGAACACACACTGTACACACATTCACTGCACACACACACTGAACACACACTGTACACACATTCACTGCACACACTGCCCGCACACACACGCACTGAACACACACTGTACACACATTCACTGCACACACACTGAACCACACTGTGACATTCACGACACACACGAACACACACTGTACACACATTCACTGCACACACCCGCACTGAACACACACTGTACACACATTCACTGCACACACTGCCCGCACACACACGCACTGAACACACACTGTACACACATTCACTGCAACTGAACACACACTGTGCACACATTCACTGCACACACTGCCCGCACACACACGCACTGAACACACACTGTACACACATTCACTGCACACACGCACTGATCACACTGTGCACACATTCACTGCACACACTGCCCGCACACACACGCACTGAACACACACTGAACACACATTCACTGCACACACGCACTGAACACACACTGTACACACATTCACTGCACACACTGCCCGCACACACACGCACTGAACACACACTGTGCACACATTCACTGCACACACTGCCCGCACACACACGCACTGAACACACACTGTACACACATTCACTGCACACACTGCCCGCACACACATGCACTGAACACACACTGTACACACATTCACTGCACACATGCACTGATCACACTGTGCACACATTCACTGCACACACTGCTCACACACACATGCACTGAACACACACTGTACACACATTCACTGCACACACTGCCCGCACACACACGCCCATGCGCCATGGCCGCACACAGCTGCAGCTCGCACGCACCTGCCATTGCTACACATGCCCCCGGCCATCGTTGGTACACACACGAACACCTCAGCTGCTGCACAAACACGCCTACACTGCGCGCACATGCGGCATGCACACACACCGTACAAACATGCGCATTGCACAAATACACTGCACAAGCACTGCACAAGCACTGCATGCATGTGCACAATGCACAAACACACTGCACGCGCGCACACTTCACAAATACACTGCATGAACACAAGGCACGCACGCACACACTGCATGCGCACACTGTAGAAACACATGCACTTGAAAAACACACCGCATGCACACACACTGAACACGCACTGTATGCGCACATACTTGCTGCACACATGCACTGCACACACATGCACTGAACACACACTGTACACACATTCACTGCACACACGCGCACATGCACCGAACACACACTATACACACACTCACTGCACACACTGCACGCACACACATGCACCGAACACACACTATACACACACTCACTGCACACACTGCATGCACACACATGCACCGAACACACACTATACACACACACACTGCACACACTGCACGTGCGCACATGCACCGAACACACACTATACACACACACACTGCACACACTGCACGTGCGCACATGCACCGAACACACACTATACACACACTCACTGCACACACTGCATGCGTGCACATGCACTGAACACACACTATACACACACTCACTGCACACACTGCACGTGCGCACCTGCAGTGAACACACACTATACACACACTCACTGCACACACTGCATGTGTGCATATGTACCGAACACACACTATACACACACTCACTGCACACACGCACACGCACTGAACACACACTATACACACACTCACTGCACATGCGCACATGTACCGAACACACCCGATACACACACTCACTGCACACACTGCATGCACACACATACTGCACAAACACAAGCACAGACTGCACACAGTCATGCGCTGCACAAACACACCGACTGCATGCACTACGAACACACTGCACAAACACACACACCTGCATTGCATGCACACACAGCCCCACTGCACACCCACACCCACACGCGCTCCTGCACCGCACAGGGGCTGCTGCCAGACTCATACAACACTCACACACACAACTCCCACTCCTGCACACACCCACTCACTACCACCCCCACCCCCTTCTGCCTCTTGATACAGCATCTGGCCTAGGGCTGCCTGCCATGGCCCCCCTGGGGGAGAGAATACTCTCTGCCGGCAGCCCCCCACCACACCCCTCCCGATGGCACTGGGGCCAGGTCCCACCTCCAGGGTGACAGACGGTTCCCAGCGGATGGTGCCCACGGCCCTGTCACCACCACACCCACCACCGAGTCCCTGCCCGCCGAGCCGTAGGGCCAACGGGGCCGGAAGGGCGAGCTGCAGCCGGCCAGCCGAGGCCTGGTGCCGTCTACACTAGCATTGTGTGAACACCTTTGAGTGACAGCTGTCCTGTAGACGTGGCCAGGGGAGGGGGCGGCCGGGGATACCAGCTCCTTGGGCTGTGGGGGATGGGGGGAGGTCCTGGCGCATACCAGAGGGTTGGGGGAGGGGGACGGAGGGACAGAAACAACCCCTCCCCGGGAGTTCAGTGAAACCCACCCTAGGGATGGAAAGCGTAAATGGAGGGTGGCTGGGCCCCCTGATCCCAGGGCGGGTGGGGGCAGCCCAGAGCCGGGAGATAAGGCAGCACAATGGGCTATTTGCATACAATGCCCTGCACCTAGCCCTGGGGCTCATGGAAGGGCAGACCTGGGCCCAGGTATTCCCAAGGCCTTGGGGTGGGGGAAGGGGAGGAGAGCTGGGGGAGGGGCAACTGGGATGGAGTGGGGAGGATTCAGAGCATGGCTGACACACATAACTCCCCCACACCCCCTCCATGCAGTGCAGTACCCCCCCCGCCCCCGCCAGGCTGGGGCCCACCTGCCTCCTGCCAGCTCCTGCCTGCTGGCCCTCACTGCTCGCTCACCGTATCTCACCACCTGGGCAGGGCGGATGGACGCCAGCCCCTGTCTGGGTCCAGCAGCCACAGCCAGGCCCCTGCCGAGCAGCGGACAGGCACAGATGCAGCAGGGTGCCACCCCCCAGGCCGGACACATGGACGCAGGCCCTGTCTCAGGGCCGGTGCCAGTTCCACGTGGAAAGAGGAGGCCAGCTGGCCAGTCTTGGCAAAGCGGAGCCTTGGCAGGCCTTGGAGAAAGGTGTGTGTGTGTGGGGGGGGTATCATCTGTCTGTCTGTCCAGCCATCCTGCTGTAATTCTGTCCATCTACCAGTCGGTCTCTCTCACTTTCCCGCAGGTGCCCATCACCAGGGTATCTGGGAGCAAATGCTAATTACATTACTGACGTCAAGCAGGTCTCTGACCACCCCCACTCCCCCCAAGTCAGGCATGGGAGAGTTGATGCTTCATTCCCCCCTCCCTTTCCCCGGAGGGGGTGGTCTGCGCGGCCATCTCTGGGAGCCCTTTGTGACAAGAGAGGTGCAGTTCCAAGAGGTGGAGGGGCTTAACTCCCGAGAGAGAGTGGGCCCCCGAGAAGGGCTGTCTCACTGAAGGGGGTTCGCCCCAGGGACCATACAGGGCCAAGAGTGGGCATGATCGGCGAGTCAGTGACACCCTTCCCTGGTGCAGAGCCGCTGGGGGAATCTCCCGCGTGTCCAAAACACCCGGCTCTGTTACCGGGAGTGTCCGAAGGCTGGATACGAAGTGAGCCAAGCAGCAGTGGGCCCCCAACGACCCAGTGGCCACCTGATCCTGGGGTGCCAAGCTGAGGGGGTTCCTGTGGGTCCCTCCCTGCATCTGTATGGCCACAAAGCAGGAAGGTGCAGGTTGGGGCGGCCACTAGACAGAGAGAGGCAGGATGGCCCAGTGGTTAGAGCGAGAGGGGGCGTCCTGGGCCCTTAAACTGGGTGGAGGGCACTGGGCAGGGGGCGTCCTGGACCCACAAACTCCCTCCCTTATCCTAGATGCAGCCAGCTCTGGGGTGAGTCTCCAGGGCCAGGCCCTGCTGCTGGACTGCCATGTCACGCACCCAAGAGGAACCATTTGCTGCATCCCACGCGCTCATTCCCCTCCCCCCCCCCGACTCCCTAAAAACCCCACCTCGCGCTCTACCTTTCAAGAGATAAAACGAGCAGCCGGGGCTCTTCACACGAGCCCAATCGGCCCCTTTGCATCCATAACAAGCGGCCCAGCAGGGGAGCCCGGCGCTTAAAGGAGACCCAGCCAGACCCCTTTGAAATCCCTCCATCGAGTTGAATGATTGGTTCGCTCCCGGACTTCAAAGGCTGCCTCCGCTCCGCACTCCTGATTGGCTGAGGGGGCAGCCCCAAAAAAAACAAAAGTTTACGCGCAGGGGGAAAAGCCAAAAGATGCGGCCGGGGGAGAAGCGGCGGCTGGAGAAGGAGGGAGACGCCTGCGAGCCGCGGCGCGCCGCGCTCTATGGAGCAGCCCTGAGCCCCCGGCCGTGGCCAGCCTGGGCGCAGCGCGCACGGACCCCAGCTACCGGACCCCAGCTCTGCTGCAGGTAAGGGGCTTCCCTTCCGGCCGGGAACTCAGGCGATCTGCCGGCTCCCCGCGCCAGCGGGCTGGGGATGGGCCAAGGTACCCCCGCCCCCTCCCCGGCGCCTTCCCAGCTGGAATGCTGCGTGCGCCCCGGAGAGCTGCGCCCTTTCCTACCCAAGTCCTGCGCCCTGCCACGCAGCGGGGCGGGGAGGCGAACCCTGGGCGGGGGGGATGTAACAGCACTCCGGGGGCCCCGATCCTGAGCACGCCTTGCTGGGAGGCAGATCGCTGTCCGGAACCGAGGGGGGGGTTGAGGGGAGGGGAGCAAAGAGAGGCGATTCCCATGGAAGATCCTCTCCTTGCGCTTAGCCTGGCACGGGACAGGAACAATCTTCTGACCCCGGCCCGCCCTCTGGATCCCTCCCACTCAGAGCTGAGCTCAGCGGAGGGCAGCTAACCCGCGGGCTTTGCCTCTGTGTTAGACCCACGCCCCTTGGGCTTCTTCCCCGGGTCCCCTGGGGCCGAGCGGGTCTGTCGCACCCAGAGACGGAGACACACATGGAGCCAGCCAGCCAGCCACACACTCTCTGCCGGGGCTTCGGGGGACAGGCAGCTACCTACCAGCGCCAGGTGCTGGGCCATGACTGGGCTGCCCAGTCCTAGGGCAGCTGCCTGCCTAGAAAAGTTCATTCTTCCAGAGGGGCTGGTGGGAAGCCCCGGCCCCCTGGAGCCCAAAGGACCAGAACCCGCAAGCGGCTGATGTTACCCAGCTGGGACTTGGGCTCAGGGCTGTGACCCCAGTTGCACAGGCCCAGAGGCCGCTGGGACAGGCAGAGCACTCACCAGCTGTCCCGGGTGTGCCATGTCCCCTGACCCTCAGGCTGCCATTCCCAGTTCAAGCGCCCACGATCCTCTAGCCTGTGACTGTCAGTGGGAGCTGAGCGGTGGGTTCTGCTCCCTATCTGGCTAGGGTTGGGGGGGGTCCACATTTTTAGACCCCCCCCACCCATCACAGGGCATGAGTCACTCTGCAAATCTGGAGCTGCCTTCTTAGCTCTCGCTGGGCTCCCGTGCAAGAGCCTTCTCCACTGCAGCCCCTGCCACCCGCCTCTCCCCCAGGGCTCCGGTTCCTCTGAAACCTCAGCTGAGCCCCCTTGTCCCATTTATAGCCCAGTAGGCTGGCTCGCCCCTCGCACGTGTGCATCAGGGTGAGTGCCCCCATGCCCAAACCACTGGTGACACAGGACGCACAGGGAGGTCTCCACGTCTCCCTTGTGGTGCAGGGGCCACCTAGTGAAGAGCCCCCAACCTCTGGGTCAGACTCTGCTCCCAGATACCCGGTGAAATCTGGAGTGAGTTCAGTGAGGACCCTAGAGCAGCACCCATGGGACCAGGCTGGGGCCTGGTGGGTGAGCCCTCCCATGGCACGGGACCACGTGGCAAAGCAAAGTTCTCAAACTCTAGAGAGAAACACTCCGGGATCTCCAAGGTAGAACATCTCCTGGTGGAATCAGCCTGTCAGATGACGAGACCGGATCCTGCTGGGTATCCCGGACAGGGCAGTGGCAGGCTCAGTGTAACACCCTCCCCTGTGCAGATGGGCTGGGCAGGGGGACAGTCATCGGGGCTTGGGTTAATAACCCAGCTTTGCAAACCCCTCAACTTTCTAGTCACCCCAGGGGCTGCTAGCGACACAGACAGAGCACTGCTTTGCTGGCATGACTTGGTTGGCATCTCTTAGGGAGCAGGCATTGGGGGCTGGCACCGGGAGGGTATCATCGACTGGGATATATTCCCATCCTGAGGCTGATCAGCTGAGGGGGATCCCCCCAGGGGCCTGACCTGCCCTGGGCAGGGCACACACAGCCGCTGGCATGGCTGCCAGGGTAGGGGGAGGAGTTTGCAGCTCCAGACCCCCAGCTCCCGCCCCAGAACTGTGCTTGGCTCCACTCGGGCAAAGTGCTGGGCCCCCCAGACTGGTCTGAGCTGTGCCCAGCGTTGCCTGGGGGTCACCCAGGAACCACGCAGCCCCTTCCGCATCCAGCCTCCTGCCCCCACTCAGCCTCCCACCCCCACCCGCTGCCTCTCCAGGCAGGAAGCTGAGAAGGGCAGGAGCCAGCTGGGGTTGGGGTGGGTCAGTCCTGCTGCGGTGCCCCGGGACATTCGCATCAGAGGCTAATGAGCAGCTGGGGCTGTGGGGCCGGTTCTGTTCTGTGGGGCCGTGGGCACCCCCTAGAGGCAGGACTGGTGGAGCTGGGAAGGGGAGTGCCCCAGGTGGGTGATGCTGCAGCTTGCGGTGCGTGGCTGGGGGGTGTGATGCTGTGATGGGCAGGTGGGTGGGTGATACTCTGGCAGAGGAGAGGGTTGCTGTGGCTGGGGGGGGGGCAGGTGATGCAGGGGCTGGGGGGGTGACACTCTGGTGCAGGGGGTGGGAAGATGCTTAGGGTGAGGGGCAGGTGAGGCAGGGGCTGGGGGGGGTGACGCTCTGGTGCAGGGGGGGGAAGATGCTCAGGGTGGGGGGGCAGGTGATGCAGGGGCTCGGGGGGGATGCTGCAGGGCTGGTACTGGGCAGGGGGTTGTTCTCGCTGCTGGGTCTGGCCCCGCCTGACTCTGGCTCTCTCTGCCCCAGGACAGGACCCCCGTCTCCTCCCCCGAGCAAGCTGCTCCCCACCACCCTCCTTGGCGTTCCTGGCAGCCGCTGTGGGACCCTCCTCCGCGGACTTCGCCCCGGCCACCTCTGAGGCTGCGGGTGGCCCCGCTGGGATGTTTCAACTCTGGAGCAACGAGGTGCCAGCCGGCTCTGGGCTGAGTGCCCCCGCCATGGCCTTCGGGCTGCCCAAGGCGCAGTACCCCGGGCACGGGGCCCCGGGCTCCCACGAGCTGCCCCTGACCCCACCGGCCGAGCACACCTACTCCTTCGAGCTGTCGCCTGTCAAGATCCTGGCTCCCCAGGGGCCGCCCGGCCCCGCCTACCACTTCTCTGAGGCGCAGGACTTCCCCAGCTTCTTGCAGAGCTCCGGCGGCATGGCCCCCCGGCCCCTGGGCCCCGGGCCCCCCAGCGCCCCAGCTGCCGCCCCCCCGGGGGGCCACGCCGAAGATGCCCCCTGGTGGAGCCTGCAGCAGCCCACCCCGGGCCACCTGCCCGCCTTCCACCTGAGCCGGCCCCTGATGCTGGGGCCACAGCCCCCGCTCCCGGCCCTGCTGGCCAGCTCCCCCAAGGGGCCGCTGGGGCCGGCCCGGCGCTGTCGGCGCTGCAGGTGCCCCAAGTGCCAGGCGGGCGCCGAGGAGCCGGGCAGGAAGAAGCAGCACGCGTGCCACCTGCCGGGCTGCGGGAAGGTCTACGGGAAGACGTCCCACCTGAAGGCCCACCTGCGCTGGCACGCGGGCGAGCGCCCCTTCGTCTGCACCTGGCTGTACTGCGGGAAGAGCTTCGTCCGCTCGGACGAACTGCAGCGCCATCTGCGGACTCACACGGGCGAGAAGCGCTTCGGCTGCCAGGGCTGCGGGAAGCACTTCATGCGCAGCGACCACCTGGCCAAGCACGTCAAGACCCACCAGGGCAAGCGGCCCAAGGGCCAGCTGGGCCCCGTCAAGCAGGAGTGAGGGGGGCCCCGCAGCTGCTATGGGGGACGGAGCCCTGCGGAGGGGGGGGAGGGAAACTGAGGCAGGCGCTCCCGGGCACACATGCCAACACTCCACACCGTGCGCACACAATTCACGCACACCTGGAGACGCACGGCGGATGAACGAGGCAGCGCGGGTCCAACCCGGGATTTTCCAGCGGGCGGGAAAGGTCCCAAGTCCGGCCGCTGAGGCCAGCTGGGAATGTTTCGCCCCTAGGAATGTTCTGAAAGGGCCCAGGTGGCCCCGATCACGCGGCCCCAAAGCGCTGGGTTCCTCCAGGGTGGACCCTCGCATCCCCACGGGCCGGGTGGGTTTTCCCCAGACAGCCCAGACACCCGGGGCACAGCCAGGGCTATCCCCCTCCACGGGGAACTTTGAGACAGTCGCCGTGAGATGCCTGGAGTTTGGCATTTCGCGACCGAGAATGCCATCCTGGGAAAACTTTGGGTCGAAGAGACACCCCCAGCCCCAAGCACCCCACACACCTGCAGAGATGCCCCCCCCCAGAGCACCATGGACACCCACAGAGATGCCCCCCCAGAACACCCCAGCCACATATGGAGACGCTCCCCCAAAGCACCCCAGACACCCTCAATGACTGCACCCCGGACACCCGCGGAGACACCCCTCCCAGAGCACCCTGGATACCCGTGGAGACACCCCTCCCAGACACCTGCAGAGACACCTCCCCCAGAGTACTCTGGACACCCACGGAGACGTCCCCCCCAGAGCACCCTGGACACCCGTGGAGACACCCCTCCCAGACATCTGCAGAGACACCTCCCCCAGAGCACTCTGGACACCCACGGAGACGTCCCCCCCAGAGCACCCTGGACATCTGCGTTGACACCTCCACCAGACACCCACGGAGATACCCCCCAAAGCACCCCCAGACACCCGCGGAGACACCTCCCCCGGAGCACCCCGACACCCAAGGAGATGCCCTCCCCCCCCCCCCCCGCAGAGAACCCCAGTCATCCACAGAGACGTCCCCCAGAGCACCCGGACACACCCGCAGAGACACCCCCAGGAGTCTCAAATTTCCACAGCCGCTCCCGCTGGAAAAGCCAGTCATTGTGACCCAGAGGGCGGGGGTGTGGGGACCCCCTGCCCCCAGGCCTCCTCCCTCATGGCTCTTCACCAGGAATGATGGAGCGGCCAGTCCTGGGACTGCCGGCCCAGCTGGAGGCTTGGGGTGTGGGGGGTTGGAGGTGGCTAGAACTAAACACACAGCACTGAGACCCCCTGTCCTGGGGAGGGGGTGGGGGGGTTGATGCCTGGACCCCAGAATGAACATGAGGGCAGCTGCCAAATCCCCCTTCCCCCGCTGGGGCCCACACAGTCACTGTGACATCACAGCGAGCGAGGTCACACACACGCTTCTGACATCAGCTTGGGGGGGGGGGGGGGGCTGGCTCCAGGGGGCCGGGCTGCACCCCGCCCCATGTACGGTGCTTGTCACCCATTAAATGCCTGACACTGTCCAAGGCACTCTGGTTGGTCCAGTCTCTAGGGCCCCAGTGGGAGGGAGTGGGGGGGCGCCTCCCCGACCTGGCTGAGATGGGGGTCACCGCCCAGAGAACGGGGGGCAGCCCTGGGGCACTGTGAGGCACCACCGGAATGCGGCCACCTCGGGGGAGGGGGGCAGTGCGGGTGAGGGGCTGAGCCCACGTGATCCCCCCGCTCCCACCCCACCAGTGCCTTTGGGGGGACAGGAGGGGTGCTGAGCCCACATGGGGGGGGGAATGTCAGAGCAGACCCCCCCATTTTGGGCCCACAGCGGGGACGGCTGTTTCAGGGAGCAAAGTTGGGAGGGGGGAATCCAGGAATTCGGGGGGGGGCTCATTCCTGGGGAGCTGTGGAATCTGACTGGGCCAAGCCCCAGCAGGTGGGTAAACACCCCCCCATCCCCAGAAGGAGGGGGAGGGGGAGCTGGCCCTTAGATCTGATCTGTCTTAATGCCCCCCCCCCGGGGCCATAAACAGGAAAGGAAAGCCCCCCACCCATGCCCCACTCTCAACCCACAGCCTTCACCCCTTACTCCCAACCTGCAGCCCCCATCCCTAGCCCCCATTCGATGCATGGGCCCCCGTTTAGCCCCCGCCCCTCACTCCTGACCCACTGCCCCGCCCCAGCTCTGCCAACACCCCATACCCCAACCTGCAGCCCCCCACTAGTCAACACCCTCCAAGCTAGAGGCTGTGAGGGCAGGATGAGTCTGTAGGCACAGTCCCTGGGGCTTAGGGGGCCCCTCCTGCTGTGGCTTCTGTCTGGCAAACCAGGGGCCCACCCCATGGCCTTGCCTGGGGCACCCTGCTGCCCCTGACCCCCAGAGCTGGCCCTGACCCTGCCAGGGGTGTCAGCATGAGGCAGTGATGCCCCCATGCCCTGAGCCCTAGGGGGGCCCATGGCCCCTGGCCGCAGAGCCCATGCCCCGGAGAGGGACCTGCCCCACACAGGTGCGAGCCCAGCATGTGCTCTTGCTCCTACCGATGGGCGGCAGGGGGCTGCCCCCCAAGAGTGCAGAAGGTGCTGTTACCCCCTAGACTGCCTGGGGGGCTCCAAGCTCAGCCAGTTTTTCCCCATTTGATAAACCAAAAACTTTATTATTAAACAAAATAATTCCCCTACTCCCAACCCGGGGCCCAGCAGCATGCATATACAGGGGCCTGTGGGCCCGGGGGTGAGACCCCTGGGGGGTGGGCACAGGGGAGCCCCACATTGCATTCCCTGGTCCAGAAAGGGGGCCTGATTCCCATGGGAAGAGGTGAAGCCTGGGAGAGAAGCCGCCTTTGGGCTGGGCAGCTGGGCCAGGCCAGAGGGTCACTGGGGGAGGGGGTGGGGGATGTTGCAATCTCTGGAGCCAGAGATGGGGGGGGGGGCAGAAGGGGGAGGGCCCTGACAGCCTGGGGCTGCTAAACGTCCCCAGGGAGCGGGGGGGGGGGGCATCTGGGAACCCCCCACATAAAGCAGGGGCCGCAGCTGGGGGTCAGGGGGACGGGGTCGGGGTCTGGCTGGGTCCAACTCAGCTCCCAGGTGGGGGCAGAGGCCCCCTCCCCATCTGTCCAGAGCCCCATTTGCCCCCTCCCCAGCACCCCACTGCCCAGCCCCATGGCAGCTCCGTGCACTGAAGGGTCCTGGGTGGGGGAGGGACAGACCCCCGTACCCCCTTCAGCTCAAGGGTCCTTGGCCAAAAGGCACGATGCTCAAGGTCACATCCATGGTCCCCGCCTGGCTGCCCCTTCTCCTGGGGGGGGGGGGCCAGCATGGGGTGCGGGGCCCCAGGTCTCCCCAGCTTCACTCCTGCCTCTGAGGGGGGGCCCAGCCGTTCCTCGCAGGTCACTTCCTGGGCTGTGGGGGGGCAGCACCCTCCAGAGTCCCCAGAAGGGGGTGGGTCACAGCTCGTCCTCGTCGAGTTTGGCTAGCCGGGCACTGGGGGAGTCGGAGCCCAACTCAGGGGGCGGGCAGCCTGCCCCCCTCAGGGCCTGCCAGGGACAAACACAGCCAGAGTCAGCACCCCCTCCCCAGCCAGACTGGCCCTGTCCCCCAGTACTCCCCTGCCCACCCCAATGCTGAGGAACACTGGTCCCTGCTCCCCAGAACCCGCGGTTCCCCCCTAGCACCACCAGGCCTCAGCCCCGAACTCACAAGAGCTGACCACAAACCCCCAGTGGACGGGAACCATTGCAGGGGGGCTGCGGGCCGGGATTGGGGGCACTGGTAGAGTGGGGTGGGGGAGCCCAGAGCTGGGATAGCAGGGGGCTGCGGGCAGGGCCGCCCAGAGGATTCAGGGGGACTGGGGTCTTTGGCGGCAGGGGTCCTTCCGCTCTGGGTCTTTGGGGCACTTCGCCGGAGACATGGAGCGGAAGGTCCCCTGCCGCCGAATTGCCGCCAAAGACCTGGAGCAGAAGAAGTCTGACCCCCGACGCCGAAAACTCTCGTAGGGGCCCTGAAAACTTTTGTGGGGGCCCCTGTGGGGCCCGGGGCAAATTGCCCCACTTGCCCCCCCGGGCAGCCCTGGCTGTGGGGTCGATATTGGGGGCACTGGTACAGCTGGGGGGGAGCCCAGGGCTGGGTAGCAGGGGGCTGCGGGTCAGGATTGGGGGGCACTGGCAGGGCCCAGGGGGACGATATTACAAAGCAGGAGCAGAAGAGACGTTCCCCGGCGAGCCCCCCTTGCCCCAGCCCCCCCGACACCTGCTCCCCTCGCCCCAGCTCCAGCCACGCAGCCCTCATGGAGCTGTTCCCATCACTCACCCCAGAGGGGGGCTCGCCTGGCTGGGGGCCCCTGGGGAAGTCGAGGCAGACGTGGGCTGGGGAGGCCATCATGGGCATGGGGGAGCTCTGGCTGCGGACAGGCTGCAAGGAAAGGGCAAGGAGAAGTGGACCCAGGAGTCCTGGCTCAGGGAAGGGGTTTCCCCAGGTCTGGGCCCCCCTAGACCCTGACCTCAGTCCCTGCCCCCCACCCCCTTATCTCAACTAGGGCCCCCCAGACTCCAACCTCAGTCCATGCCCCCCACCCCGCACCTCAGCTGGGACCCCCAGGCCCCACCCCCACCCCCCAGTTCTCCCGGTACCTCAGTGGGCAGTAGGCGCGGGTGGCTGCTGGGCAGGAGGAGCGAGGGCAGGGAGCAGTTGTAGGGACGGAGGCCGGGCCCCATGTTCCTGTCCATGGAGGCAGAGGAGTGGGGCCGCAGGGGGCCGCTGCGTGGCGATGCCTGTGGGGCCCCCACCCAGCCCAGGCTGCGGGACTTGCTCTCCCGCCGTTGGTACTCGATGGGCGACTGCAGTGCTGTGGGGGGGGGGGGGGGAACCACACGGGGCGTCACGTAACACACGGGGGCTCACACAGCGCGCGGACCCCACACGCCTGGGGCAAGGGAGGGTCCCACGTGCCGATACCCCCTGGGGGACGCTCCCCTCCCCGGCGCATTCTGGGACCCTCTCACCCTGCAGGGCCCTAGGGCAGGGCAGATAAGGGTGGGGAGGGGAGAAAGTGCAACCCGGGGAGGGGGCTAGGGCAGCCCTGGGGATGGAGGAGGGGAGGCTAGGGCAGCAGGGGGGCTAGGGCAGACCAAAGGGTGGGGCTGTGGGTGGGGCAGCAAAGGGGCGTGGAGGGGCCAGGGCAGCCCAGCGGCAGGGTGGGGAGCTGGGGCAGCCCTGGGGAGAAAGGGGGGGCCGGGGCAGCTGGGGGGGCCACCTACCGTTGAGGAAGTCGCGCTGGGTCTCCAGGATGTGGCTGATGTCGGCTGCCCAGGCCCGGGCGATCTCAGGGGCCGCGGCCTGGAGCACGTAGCGGACGCTGCTGCGGTCGGCCCCCCGCGACGTCAGGGCGAACTTGCAGGGGTCGTTCTCCACCCCCTCCTCCAGCCCCAGGCAGCTGACCTGACGCAGGGAGCCGGGCCTGAGAGGGGAGCCAGCCCAGCCCCCCGCCACTGGCTGCCCCCTCCCCACCAGGGACCTGGGGCCCACGCTGGAGCGGGCCGGCGAGGGCACAGCCGGGGATGCTCAGTTCCCCTCGAGGGTACCCTGGCTCTGGTCCCAGTCCCCCTGGTGCAGAAGGGCGGGGGGGGCTCCCAGGCGTGGGTCACAGGGCGGGGAGGGTGCAGTGGCAGGGAGCGACCCCCAGGCGTGGGTCACAGGGCGGGGAGGGTGCAGTGGCAGGGAGCGACCCCCAGGCGTGGGTCACAGGGCGGGGAGGGTGCAGTGGCAGGGAGCGACCCCCAGGCGTGGGTCACAGGGCGGGTACAGTGGCAGGGGGCTGCAGGGGCCACAGCACATGAGGTCCCAGCCCCTCACTTCCCGCTCCCTTTTTGGCAGCTGCCCCTGGGAAAGATGCCTGCGAACCCAGCTCTGCCCCCTTTGCTGTGTGCTTGGGGTGGGGGGGCAGGTCCTGGGTCCTGCCACGCGCGATGCCCCCAGGACTTGAGCTCTGGGCTGGGCACCAGCTTCCAACCACCCGGGTCTCACCAAAGCGGGTAGGAAGCGCCTCTGAGAGGTGGGACTTGCCTGGGTGGGCGGAGCTTCCTGAGGCGAGGACAGGGTGAGGCCTGCTAGGGGCGGGGCTCCCAGGGGGGAGCTGGGCTTCTGGCATGGGCGGGGTCCAATAAAGGCGGGGCTCCCTAGTGGGGGTGTGGCCTGCCAGAGGCGGGGCTCTGTGGTGGGGGCAGGGCCCCCAGGGTGGAGCTGCATGGGTGGGGTGTGGCCTTCTAGATGTGGGGAAGGGGCCTGCCAGGGGCGGGGCTCCGTGGGTGGGGGTGTAGCTCCATGGTGGGGGGCGGGGCCCACCAGAGTGGGGCTCCGTGGGTGGGTGTGACCTGCTACAGGTGGGGGTGGGGCCGGCCAGGGGCGGGGCTCCATGGGTGGGGGTGTGGTCTGCTAGAGGGGGAGTCCCCCTGGGTGGC